CGAATGAGTTTTACGTTATGTTTACGTCACGTCTTCTTCTGTGAGTTTATTGGCTGGTTGCAAAGCAGAAATCTGATTACTACCTGATTCATGTAGATGTGGAGTTTCCCCATTATCTGACTACTAAAGAGCATGTAAACGTGTTGATCGGATTACTGACAATATCTGATTTTCTGCAGTTATCTGATAATTAAGTGCATGTAAAGGCACTTAATCTTTTCTCTTTTCCAAACTATAATTTCTCTTTCGTACCTTTTTTTCTGCTATTTCTTTTCTCATCACTTCTCAATTACTTTGAGTAATGTACAGGACTATGTTGCATTTTTTGCATGTGGTCTTCCTCCTCCAGCTTAAAAATTTTAGATCAATATCTTTGTACAATCATGTGGAGATTCCCAGATCCAGTTCTGAGCATCCACTGCTTTACATCGTTAGCCCAGCACACCTGATCCAACTCATCAGCTAAGCATTAAGCCAACTTTTGAGTGAGAGCAGGTGTGTTGCAGTGAGGAATAGTATGAGAGTGAGAACCTCTGATTTAGATGATGGTTGGATGCTTTCTATTGAGCTTTTTTGCATTCTCAGCAGCCTCAGCATTGGACCTATCAGCATCTGACTAGTCTAATATATCACTGCTATCCAAAAAAAAAAAATGTATCTCCATTTTGTCTGGTTATTATTTTTCTGCATAATTTTAACACAGCAGCTGTCTTTTATTTTGTGTGAAAATTTCATAATGGATGTACCAATAGAAACGCTCCCGAATTACACTGAGAGATTATAAAATCTCTTTACAATAACTTACATAAAAAGCTACATTCTCCTCTAAAGTTCCCACTTTGGATAAACATGTTTTCTTTGATAATGTACAAATAAATGATATGTTTATCCATACATTATGTTTTGAAGCAAAAATAAAGTAACTTTATGAGTAATCACAGCTGTAAAGTATTCTGTGGAGTGATGCTGATGGAGCCACTGACCACAGAACAGTGGAGAATAGCCACCACTTACTGCATATTTCTTCATCATGCAGATACGTGAAATATTATCAAATTCAAATTCTGATATCTTTGAGGAAAGAAACATAAAAATCATATTTACTTCCATCTCCATATTCCTGAAAGAAGATGTGATTGAAAGAACCCCCCCACTATTGGCTAAATATTCTATCAGTCTTGGCTTTCAACATTAGCAATGTTGTGAAACTAGGAAAGTGTGAAAATCAATATTGAAACAGACAGAGAAACAGAGAAACAGAGAAAAGTCAAAGCAGCTGCAGAACACTGTAGATTGGGTTTTAATTGGCTTATAGAGTAAATCTATGTGGTTGCTATGGTGTTGCTGCAACACGGCTATGGTTGTTGTTAGGGCGTTGCTTAGTGATGGTTAGGTAGATGCTAAGGTGTTACTGGGCTGTTGCTATGTTTCCCCAGTTGGTTGCTAAGGTGTTACTAGGCTGTTGCTATGCTATCCCAAGTGGTTGCTAAAGTGTTGCTAGACTGTTGCTATGGTATCCCAGTCCTACAGTTACACAGAACCATCTGTCAATCAATCAATGCTAAATTTTATCTTTAAAGTGAAAATATAGCAAATTCTGCTTGCATACATGCTAAAAACATTAAAATATAGCTTTGTAGAAAACAAATAAACAAACATTACTTGTGCTGTCTGTATGAACACACCCAGTTAACATTCATTGTTATAGAATAATACAGTTTTTAAATCTAACGACTGTGGAAAATGATTACAGCTTAAACAACTGCGATCATCTTTAAAAAATTAACAGAATAAATAAATAAATAAATAATGCAATTACGTGATCACGCAATAATTGTGAAAGGCCTACCTTAAGTTTGTATATGTTGAAAAAGCACCTATTTGGGATTAGGCTCTACAGTCCTGCAAAGTTATGTGGTTCCAGCTTAAAAGCTGTAGGAGTAGCATTGCAAATTTTTGACCATAGAATAATAATAAGAAGAAAATAAAGAAGAGTAGATAAGCTTTTCAAGCCAACTTAATTAGTTCTCCCTTCCAGATATGATGAAAGATATAATGTCATCTATCTCTGACCTTTCACTGCTTTGTCAGTTTTTCATCACAGCCTATCAGCTCTTTACTCTCTGTTCTGGTATGCTCTTGTGCAGTAACAAGCCATCGGCTGCAGTTATTGATCTAAAAAGGCCAGCAGCTGAAACACTTAAAGGGCAGTACAGAGACTGCTAAGCATCTTGCCTGGCATGCTCTTCACAGTCAGACTCAGAGTGAGGTCAAAGGTCCAGTGCCTTAGGCCACACTGTGTTTGTCCTGTGCTGGGTAAATTACATGAGAAGAGTGATAGACAGGTAGAAGGAGGTCATTTATACTGACCCATGATCAGCTCTTCTGTCCATTTTCTGACTGATGTACAGGCCTCTTGTGAGCAGAAAAAAGAAGCAGCCCCACCAGTTGTCGGATGATGTTTGGTTGTGGACGGTGATGGAAAAAAGGTTAAGTGATTACTGCCATCTAGTGGACTGGACACGTTACTACAAATCAGTTTATTCTGTACTCCGTTCTTGATCACCAGCTAGGTGTTTTATATATTAACATGCACACACAATTTTCAGTTGAACTCCACAGATATGTCAACAAAACATATTAGAATCTAGGAAAAAAAGTAAAGTGAAGAGCTATTTAATAATCTGCACTGATTCTAGTTCACTATTCCAATATAAAACACATATGTGACACTGACCATGTTAGGGGCTTTGTACAAGGTCAAATTTTATGTCATCCAATGAAATGCATGTTAAGACAATTCTCAAGGGGATTTGATCTACTCATCAGAGGCTTTTGCGCAAACTTATGGACTTCAATGCCAGCTCAAGTGAACGCTGTCATTAAAGCAAAAGAAAGACATCTCACTACAATATTAAGAAATTTAAAAAATTCATGTTCAAATTTTAAAGATTCTACTTTTCATTCATTGCTATGCTGATAATATAATTCGTAATCTTTCTGTTATATTTGAAAGGTATGCAATATAGAAGCATTTCCATTAGTGGTCTCAGACGTTTGGACCCCATTATATCTGTCTAGCTGTCCCTAAGTACATTGTATATAACCTTTCAAAAAATCTAACCCTGCCAAAAAATCTAAAGATGTACAGAATATTAAATTGTTAATAGTTGTAAAATGCTGCCAGTGATTGCTAATCTAAAATTAACCTTTATTTGAAGCACAACTCCTGAGAAAAACAAAAACAAACAATTAATCTTTCTATTAAATAAATATTTTTCTCAAATCTGGCAACCCATTATTTAATACTTTGTGCAGCCTCCCTTGATTCTGAGGCATGCTTTGGATCATTATCCTGCTGGAAGATCCAGCCCTGGCCCAGTTTTAGCTTCCTGGCTGAGGCAGTCAGGTTTTTATTTATTATCTGCTGATACTTGGTGAAGTCTTTGATACCATGTATCTGAATAAATTGTCCAGGGCATTTGAAAGAAAAACAACCACACAATATCACAGATCCACCACCATACTTTGCAATGGGGATGAGGTACTTTTCTGCATGGCTATATTTGTGTCTACACCCAACCAGGCCCTGGGGTTTTTCTCAAAAAATCTATTTTGATCTTATCTGAATACAGTCCCATTAAAAGTTCCAGTAAAGTTTAGCAAACTGAAGGTGCTTGAGTTTGTCGGTCCTTGACAGCAGAGGCTTTCTTCCTTTCTTCAACCACCCCCCCAAACAACTTGTGGTTATATAGTTGGCATCTGGTGGAATCTAGTTTAGGAGCCGTTCTGACTCCAAGACCTAACGAATTTCTGTGAGTCAGTATAGACTTCCTACTCTTCCCTGCAGTTTGTGAACATCCCTAGTTGCTTTAAACTTCTTAATTATTGCCCTGATGGTGGAAGCGGGCATTTTCAACTGTTCAGCTATTTTCTTGAGGCCATTTCCTGATTTGTGCAGCTCAACAACCTTTTGTTACACATCATTGCTGTGTTCTCTGGAATTCCTCATAGTGATGGATGACTGAGGGAACTGAGCGAGTTTAAAATCTTTATCAGGCCCCTCACATGTTTACTTAACAACATACCACACCGTCACCTTCTATCAGCATTTCACAGACAGCCCTATCATCTATTTATGTCCTCCTTATTTATAATGTATCTCATATATGGTATGGATCCTTCACAGTTTGCAATATATATTCATTCAAATATATTTCAAATATATTTTACATGTAGGTAATGCTAGATGCAAGTGGCTGAAGTTCAATTAATTTCTTTAAAACATAACAGTAGTGAGTAAACAAGTAAATTACTTTGTCATTTTTGTATTCAGTCTTTTCAGCAGAGGCCAATAAGTTCCTTCTCACACCACTACCTGGTGATCACACTGGAGAGTCCAACAACCTGGCCTCTAATTTTCAAAGACATCTGATGGCCTTCATTACCTGGTTCAGGTGTGTTAGATTAGGCTCAGAGCTAAACTGTGCAAGGCGGTGATCACCAGGACCAGGACTAGGCACACTGTGACATTGCTGTGGTATTGACACACTGTGATATTGCTTTTAATGACATTCTTAGTGACATATTTGATAAAGGATATTCTACATATATAGGAGGACATTCTATATATATATATATATATATATATATATGATGTCTATTTTTGTTTTTTGTGCAGTTGTTTACTGGGTGCTCTACATTGTTTTGAAAGAACAGTTAAAGACACATCAGTTTCCCAAAAGTTTCCATTCTGGAAATGTGCTTTCTGTCTAATTAATGTTTACAATTTTTAAATAAGGTAGCAAATGAACAAAACCATCCATTAACTCTGGTAAACATTCACTGCGTTAGTTTACTTCTTTTTCTTTTTGGTTTGTTCTTTTTTCTCTTCAATAATGAACACATAATGTACACACATATATATATATATATATATATATATATATATATATATATATATATATAAAATGTGTGTGAAATGAACCTAGCCTTTTTTCCATATACAAACTTTTTATTCATGCCTTCATTCAATCCATTAAACATATATTTATGTATAAATTCACAGTCAATCCATATAAAAAAAGGAAATGTGTACAATAACATCATTTACAAATACATAATTGTAAAACAGATTAAAGGTTAAAGGAACGTCCCTTTGACGGTTACCACTTCTGTGTGATTATCAGTCATCAGGCCTCCTATACAATACTATAAATGGTGACATCACATACTTCAGAAAAAAAGGGTGCAAAATACTGAACAAATACAAGACATAAATGCACAAAAAAGATACACAACATGATAAATTCTTTTTATAAAAATGTACAGACATCTGCTACACTATGTTTGTGCACAAATGATGCAATTGATTTTGAATGTAAAGGATCTCTCTGTCTCTCCCTCCCTCTCTCTCTCTCTCTCTCTCTCTCCCCCTCTCTCTCTCTACCTGACGTTGGAGAACACAGTACATAGATAATTGCATGGCCTTAAAAGGAAAGCTATCCCCTCACATGTAATCTCGGTGAAGTATCCCTTTAAAGGTCCATTCTAAAGTGGTTTTGTGTTGCCATATTGCAGCCGTGCAGAATGAGAATGATTATTTTTGGTGCATAAACGGAAAGCAAAACATGCCGTTGTGATATCCTGACAATGTTTAGAAAATGGCTTCGCTCTTTCACATTTACTGTTACCCTGTTGATGATCCAGTCGGTCAGTTTTTTGTTTTGAATGGAATGTGCAAGCAAACCACAACTGATGCTAAATGGCTCTCGAATGCCAATAAAAAAGGAAATAACAAATAGTTTTGCGAGCGATTGTAAGGAAAGTGTTGAGAAAGTGTTGAAACACCTCGTTATGGATTTGTATCCATTTCACAGCTGACACTGACGCTGTCAGTAAGATTGGTTTCTCTTTAAACTGACAAAAACTTCAGATAAATTGCTTCTTGAATTGAAATATTCTTGAGTTGGGTGGAGGCAAAGGTACTTCAATAAACCTGCATGTAAATGCTGATATGTAAATACTTTGTGCTGGTTTTCAATAAGATTTTATGTTTGCTTCCACTCCCTATTCTCTACATCAATGGCCACTTTATCAGAAACACCTACCTACTTTATTGATCATATGAGGGGAATTTGTTTTGCTCCTTAACTATGCCTAGTCTGGGATCAGCACAGCAACTCTAAATTTTGTTACAATGGTAGTGTAATGGGGTCAAATATAGCCAATTTATTTACTAGCCAAAACCAGCAGTGAACCTACACGTGTCTTTTGAGTTTTAATGTGTAATGTTGATGATGGTAAAAAGCTTTCCTTGGCTATTATTTTGCCTTACCAAGCCCTGTACGTATCTCTCCACCATGAATGGATTACAAATATACTTTTTTAAGCCAAAATATTCTCAACCTTTATGTAAAACAATATCTCAGGCATCATATTTGTGACCATTTCATGTGATCAAACGTTTGGTTACCACTATGAACAACTCTGAATCTGTAAATTTGTCTAAAACAGAGCGTTTTACATCAAACCACTCTGAATGACTTTTTATTCTTCTCTGAATCACTTTATATTTAAATTATTGAGTTATGCAGAAATGTTGCCCAAAGGTGCAATGTGGACCCAGTCACTCCTGGGGTTTGAACCCATAACATCCCTTATACTAGCTCATCTCTCCTCCCACTAGACTACCAAGTCATTTGTTGCTATAGGTACTCTAGCTCCTTTTTTCAGGGGTCAGTTTCTGAACAGAGAGCTGCTCTTTTGGGGGGCATTTTTGGGGAACAGACCATACTCAACCTCACTCTACTGCTACTGCTGTGCTGAGAATGCCACCAAATAATATCTGCTTAACAGCGCTGCTGTGGTCAAAAACTGACTGATGGTGTAGAAGGTGCCTGCCAACAGATGGGCTACAGTCTGAAACTGTACACCTATATAATGGATATACAAGGTAGGTAGAGCTCATAAAGTGGCCAGTGAACAGAAGTACAGGGTGAGCATTTCTAATAAAGTGGACAGTTATTCATAATTATAGACTTGGGCCCAAATCCACTGTGTCCAGTGTCTCAGAGTGAGAGTGGATCAGGGTCAGTTCTCCACACCTGTATTAATGTATTCCTCAGGATATAAAAGGTAAAAACTGATCCCAGGTCAGAACTTTCACTCTGAGACGCTTTATTACTTCAGGCCATATTTTCCCGCCATTTTTCCATCGAGCTGGGAGGGGTCCAGCCCTTTCCCCGGCTCCCCATTGGCTGACAGAGCCCAGCCCTGTCTCACTATTGGTCCATCTCGCCTTTACACTAGCGCGTGGCGCCGGCGGTGCAGCGCGAGGTGATCGGAGCGCGAGAAGCTGCGCTCACAGTCTCCGCACTTGAAGGGCTTGACGCCCGTGTGTTTGCGATAGTGGCGCGTGAGCTCGTCCGAGCGCGCGAACTTCCACGTGCAGCCGTCCCACGTGCATTTATATGGCTTCTCGCCTGAAAGAGAGAGAGAAAGAGACGTTGTAAGTGTATGTTCACACATAGCGGGAGACATCACTCATCGCTCAGCTAAAATGGTAACTTTTAGATAACTTTAAGTTAAAATTAAATTATTATATTTTGCTTCTGATAGATGTGGTACTGTAGAAATCCTGTATCAGAAATCAGAAAAAGATAAGGAATGAATGTGATAGGAATGTGTTGCAGATCTAGCCTGAAATAGCACAGAATAACTGCACGTCGTTGGACCCTGGTCACCTATCCGAGGAATCAAACCTAGGCCCTTCTTGCTGTGAGGTGACGCTCCCTTTCACCCTCTTCCTTCAACTTTCAATGGTCAGGACCCCCACAGGACCACCTCAGAGCAGGTATTGTTTCACTGGTGAATCATTCTCAGCACTGCAGTGACACTGACGTGGTGGTGGTGTGTTAGTGTGTGTTGTGCTGTTCTGAGTGGATCAGACACAGCAGTGCTGCTGGAGTTTTAAACACCTCAGTGTCACTGCTGGACTGAGAAAAGTCCACCAACCAAAAATATCCAGCCAACAGCGTCCTGTGACCACTGATGAAGGACTAGAGGATGACCAACACAAACTGTGCAGCAGCAGATGGGCTATTGTGTCTGACTTTACATCTACAAGGTGGACAGACAAGGTAGGAGTGTCTAAAACAGTGGACAGTTTTTAATTCTGTTTTTTATTCTGTTATTTATTTCCAAATTTACATGACAAGAATCCCAGATTTTCTATGTGGTCTCAGACATTTGGACCCCACTGTGTATGTAGCAGCATATTTTGTTAAATCTGAGATATTACAGTTCTTTATTGTCTCCATTCAAAATAAGGTAAGCAGGTCCCTCCTCGCCATGGTAACATGCTAAGGAAAAATCTGATGCTTATAGCTTAAGGTAACCAGCCTGTATAATTAGATATCTAGGGCTGGTGCATGTTGATCAGCACAAAAAGCTCTAGAGGGCACCTTAAGCACATCGTCAGAAACCACATAGGTCCTTTTGAGATTACTTAGCAACTCTGCTTGGTTTAAGGCAAGTCAGCTTGGTTTACGGCAAGTGTGTGATGATTTACACATGCAGTTTGCACAGAATTGGTGGACATAAGCTTCTAGTACTTGTAGCTCCAGTGCAAAACTTTGGTCACATGTCTTGACTGATCAACTACATTTGAGGTTTGGGGTAAAGCTGTGCACATTTAAGTTTCCATTGAAATGTTGCTTTAAAGCCAAAAGGGAGGACTGTCCAGTAGGAATACCTTTTCTTTTATTGCACATTGCAACTACTACTTTAATTCATTCAGGTTCTTGAGAAATCCTGCTTTGTGAAACAACCCCCAGTTTAAATTCTAATTCATCATCTAATCAAAATCATAACAACTATTAAATATGTAAGCCAAATGCTACTAGAACTATGTGGAGTGGCAGGTAAAGTAGTTGTTTGTTTATTTGTGTTTGTTTTTAAAGTTGCACACAGAAACAGCTCACATTATTAGACGGCATGTTATAAAAACTCAAATGCTCAGATGAGTGAGTAAGCGCTATGGTGCTGAATGTGGCTCAGATTTAGTCTCAGGTCTAACTCACCAGTGTGGGTCCTCCGGTGGGCCTTCAGGTGGGAGCTTTTGGTGTAAACTTTACTGCAGCCCTCAAACTCACAGCGGTGGATGCGTCTCCTCTTGGAATCAGGGGACTCGGGCCGCCTCGGCCTTCGCAAGCTGTCGATGCTGAACGGCAGTATGGAGCTGCAATGGCAACAAACAAAATCATAACATTAGTTTCAGCATGGCTTGGGAATATGGCTACTTATCATTTCTGTGATGCAAGTCGTTATTTTTTAAAAAGCACATGTTAAAATAAAAACACTGACCAAACTGATGTACAATTAAAAATTAACTAACAACACAGGAAAAAAATAAAATGTCCCTAAAATAATAATTGACTGGAATTAAATAAGAAATTAAAATAACATAACTGTGCAGAACATAAGTGTTTTTGGCTGGTGCTCAGATTATCTTTACTTATGCAAGTGCTTATGGACGTAGTGTGTTTCATTGCGTAGTTTTGTATTAATAGTGGTTGGAATAGCTTTGGATAACAGCATCAAATCCCACCTCTGGACCGCACACAGGTCATTTGATTCATTAAAACAAAACAGCTTGCTTTGAACAGCACTGTCCACTTCTCACAAATGAAAATGCTGGACCATATTTGTAGCAGCATACCTAGATAACACTGTTACTGTGGAACCCACACTCAAAAAACACAAGGGTGCCACAAAAAAGACTTTAAGCGCCGTAGAAGAACTACTTTTGGTTCATTACAGAATCATGAAAACAAGATTTGTGAGAGTGAGGAAACTTCTTAAACCAGAGAACCTCAATATAATGTGAAGGCCTTGAGTTACACAAAATTTACGTCATGTCAAGGCTCTTGAAACTTTTAAAAGGTTCTTCACACTCCCAAATCTCTTTATCACACATGATCTCCAAAGAACTATGCACTGAAAGGAAGGTTTTTAAGGAGCCAAAAGTGGTTCTATGGCATCACTCCAAAGTATTTTACAGACCAGATTCAATTCAGTGATGCCTTGCTTTGTAGCTTTGTATCTGGACATCACTTGTGTGCCACACTGAATGTCAGATACCTTGTGTAAAATTAGAAAAAAGTGGGAAGTCTTCAAATCTGGACCTTAAATCACCTATAGTTCATTGAACTGCTGACATAATGGATTTCTATTAGCCATTCAGGGTCACACCTATCAGTGATCACAAAATCCATGACCAGAAACATTAAGGCCTGGAATTGAAGAGCTCTGTTCTAAACCTCGTTGTCAGGTAATGAAGCTCAGCACACACTTAAAAACAAGTTGAGATCTTTTTAATTTAGCATAAAATTAAAGATTAAAGTTTTCTTTTGTTTTGATCTCTTTCATTTGATGTTATTTTATTTGTTTAATTTGCCAAATACTGTAAATGTATTTTCTTTGGATTATTACTGTTATTGAAATTATTATTATTATTATTATTATTATTATTATTATAGTTGTAGTAGTGTGAGTGAAATACAGACACTGTAAGGATTTGTGGGGTAGCCATACTATTAATATAGTGATGGCCACCAGAGGGCACCATTGTGCTGTGGAGATGACAAATCGACATCAGTTTAGTAGCCCTCAATCCTCTCAAATGTAGTTTTCTCTTCTCTAACACCCAGCTGAGCACAGAAAGGTCTTGTTAATCTGTTCATTAGTTGCATCAGATGTGTGAGGAGCTGAGGAAACTCAGCTAAAATGTGCAGGACAGTTGTACCCCAGATACAGCAGAAAAGACTCTAGCAACATTAATATTTTCAGCATGTCTGGTTTACTTTTAGATGAAAGCCCATTATGAGAAGGAATGAGTTTTGTCAATAAACATATTTGTGGATTGTAAACAGCACCTACATAAACACAACTTCAAAAACCTTAAAACAAAACAGTCAAACATCTTCTGAACATTACTAATCGCAATGCTGCGTGTGCACACTTCCACCCTCACGAAAAAGATATAGCAGCCTCGTTTTGCCAGCAAGTACACGTACACACATACACACGCGTACACTGTAAACTCATGGACCTTTAGAACATTGGCCCGAGTGAGAGGCTTTAGCTGGAGATGTTTGGGAGTGGGTTCTTACCCCCCGCCGAGCCACTTCCTGTTTCTCTTGGGCCGTAGGGGTGCATCATTTATGTGTGTGTGAGAGAGAGACAGGGAGAGGGGAGGGGGGTCACCTGCGGCTCTTGGCAGCTGTAGCTCTTTTGGGGGCCCAGAGGAGACGGAGGGGAAAAAAGAACCGCTGAACTCCCACAACTTCTTTCTCAAAACGGAGGTTCTGAGACGTAGAACGAGCAAACTCCATAATCACCAGCCACTGTCTACCACAGTCCTAAAGAAGCTCCATGTGTCAGTAGCCTCTACTGGCCCATCCATGCTCTGCCCACTAATGCATTCTTTCTTAGCAACTGTTGCTAGGTTGGACAGGCTTGACAGAATGTAGGTAAAACCTCCATTTGACCTAATGAGAAAATGTAGTACAGAATGTAGCTTTTTCTTTAGCACAATATTTATGCCTAGAGGGTGTTATTTTTATTTAAAAAGGTATTTACAACACTGTCTAAAGGTTTAGGATCGCTTTGCCATATTGACAATTTTTATTTTAGGTACAATAATAGCTTAAACTGTGTGGATTTAAATGAAGGGTTGTTCCAAAATCCATCATAGACCACCTTCAAAAATTTTTTCATGATATACATGATGAGAGTGGGCTTTACACATGCAAAAAAATATCAGTGCTATATTATGATTAAAACCACCCTCATTTCAAAAACCTAAATCCAAAATTGTTGTACTGCATTTTGGAACGAAACTCTTCAAACATTACAAACTATTCACCAAAAGGTATTTTCAAGTTTTATTCAATATTTCAAGAGTTCTGTTAAAATGAAATGAGTAAAATGATAAATAATATACTATTTTTTTCCAAGTTATCTGTTTTGACATTAAATTACACTGTTTGAAATATCACGGGTTCTTGATATGAATTTTATTTATTCATTTCTCAGTCGTTTTGGAATCATTGCTGGCTCCGTTCATTGTTCTGGACACATCTAACATTATATTTTTTCACATCGTCCTAATGTCCTATTTATATTTGAAAGCTGTGAACTTGTACAAGACTAGCATAGTATCATTAGTTTTGTGTCATTGAAAATTCCAAACCTGTGAATGGTGGCATACTTTATCATGTAAAAGGTCCCATTTTCAGGATAAATAAGACCTAGATCTGTCATTGTGTGAGGATGGTGGCAAATTTGGCATTGTTGCTTCCAACTTGCCTAGTTTTAATAACATAGTCCACTTTGATAGCCTAGCATATCAAACTGGCCACGAAAGAGCATACTTGTAGGTGGAGCATGGGTAGGTCAATTAATGCTCATACTGTTTCGTTCCAGGTTAAACTCTGTTATGTTTGGAGCTTTTCAGATTTTTGTCATTTCACACAAACTAAGCATCTTTTGAGTAATATCACAAATCACTCTTCACTATCAGCAAACTAGGAGCGCTGTGCAGAATACTATTATAGGAAAAAAGTTTCTGTATCAAGTAAACGATAATTTGGTAAAACGGAGCTCTACAAACCTCTTAAACGGCTTATTTAGCTTTTAATCTTGAGACATATTACTCGGTTACTACTATAAATGAATTAGTAACTACTCTGAAACTAGCAAGATAATAGTAGTAATTATTACAGTAATGTAATTATAATTCCAGTGACAGTTACTGACCACAGTGGTAGGCTAAAGGTCTAGAGCACTATAACGTGCTGCCAAAAGATAGACAAATATTAAGTGTCATAACCAACACATGACTCTTTAATGTTGTACCACAGAATGGGAGAGAGGGAAGCTGCAGCTGAGTGAGGGCTAAAAGCTGCAGCTGAGTGAGGTCTAAAAGCGGCAGCGCTGGTCATTTTGTTCCGTCTTTTGTTTGTATTTTTCCCTCTGGAGCCGCTCAGAGGGGCTTTCCAATGGTGAGGACGTGCAAGGCAGTGCCACTGACCGTGCATCAGGCCACAGAGAGACCCTGGTGAAGAGCACAATGAGGCGTAGCTCTTTCAGCTGATCCGGGCTCAGGGAGAAGCAGCTTTTAGTCCAAGACATGAACTACATTGACTTGTGCACCTGTGTCCCAGAACATAATCGACCCTGAATGCACTCCCTTCGAGACCTGAGTGAACAATGATGTTAAAGAACAGCAAGGCGCATTGCCCTGCTCATCCAGTCTACAGACACAGTAAGAAACCTCTCTGACTCTGTTCCCTCATGGATACACATACACTGTCCATCGAAAGCTTTGCTTTTCAGAATGTTTTCAGCACAAATTTGCATATTTTCTTTGTCATTTTAACCTAAAATGAGATGAGAACACTTTTTGTAATATCTTGACAAGACTTATCACAACACCTGGTTAGTTTTTCTAAGATATAATGCTGAGAAAATAACAACAAAATGACCATGTACAATTAATGTAACCATATCAACTGGTTGGCTAGCCACAACCTAGCTAGCCTATGCTGTAGTGCAAGCTAAGAAGGTTAGTAAATAATATTGTTCTTTATGAGATGATCAAAGTGGGCTGCAAGGGCTGTAACAATGTTTGATAGTTATCTAGAATCTGACTAGCTAAAGTTAGCTAGTTAATTAGCTATGTAAATAAATAATATACTGTTTCAATGTCCGCTTGTGTCATTTTGTTTGTGATTAATTAGTATCACACTTATTGGCTAGGCAGCATGCATGCATCTGGGGGGCAAGGAGGGGCTACTGAGTATATAAAATTGCTTAGCTGTTGAGTATATAAAAAGCTAGCTTCAGCTAAGTTGATGAGCATTCATTTAACATACTAGTTTACTTTAAGGAAAACAACAAATTTCAAATTTCAGGAAAGATGCCCCCAAACATTTAAACGGCCTTGTACACAAGCTTGACTTTTCCTCAGCCACACCAGGGCATGTTATAACACATTGTTGCCTTCAGGCTTTGCCACACTGCTGCTGCTAGCTGGCCACCTCTTTCTCCCTGCGGTCAACCCATCAGCTGGTGCTGCCCACAGGACTCGAAGCTCCACAGACACACACACAAACACGCACACACACACCACAACTCCTGTCTTATCCGAGCCCAGCTACCAGCTTCCCCCCCTGGGCATGCTGAATATGGAGGAGGCCCTGTCACCCACCCCAGCTCCAGGGAGAATTCCTTTATTAATGAGCTTCCCTTTCCACACACAAACACACACACACACACACACCTGCTCATCCGCCATTCCTTCACACACTGCGAGAAGCCCATTTATAATGATGATGAATTCGTGCTGACAGGGAGAGTGTCTCCATGAAATTCTATCAAATTCAGAGACAAAAGCAAGGCAAAGGAACCCCAGAAAGCCAACATAACCATGATGACACATTCCATGTGCACACACACTCACAGTGGGGGTTCATCTTGGAAGCTATCAGCAGTCTGGTATCACACGTCGTACCGACTGGTGTTTAGTTTGAGGTCTACATGTGCCTCTTATATTGTGACTGATTACTGTGGCCTGATTTTATTACATACTGTGAATTACAGGCACTGGTTGTGTGAGTGCATTTTTTTTTACTCTTTTTAACTCTCTTCTCTCTTTCAGTGTCATTGTATTGATATATTTCAGAGAATCAAATGCCCTCACAAAGCATAATTAAATGTGAAGTCCTTTGTGTTATTTTTGTTACTGTATAGTGGCATAAATGTATATATGAACTATATATATATGGGCGGCACGGTGGCGCAGTGGGTAGCGCTGTCGCCTCACAGCAAGAAGGGCTTGGGTTCGATTTCCGGCCAGGCGGCCAGGGTCGTTTCTGTGTGGAGTTTGCCTGTTCTCCCCGTGTCTGCGTGGGTTTCCTCCGGGTACTCCGGTTTCCTCCCACAGTCCAAAGACATGCAGTCAGGCCAATTGGACATGCTAAAAATGCCCCTAGGTGTGAATGTGTCTGTCTGTCTGTCTGCCCTGCGATGGACTGGTGATCTGGCCAGGGTGTATCCTGCCTTCCACCCAATGACAGCTGGGATGGGCTCCAGCACCCCACCGCGACCCAGAAGGATAAGCGGTTTAGATGATGTATGTATATATATATATATATATATATATATATATATATATATATATATATGTATATTTTTATTAATGTGTTTCATGGGTCATACTGAAGAGTTTATCGAGGTGCTACCTTTGCACATCGGTTCATGAAATTTCGCTCTGCTACAACTGACCGGGTATCATCATGAAATGGAAGCATCTAGGAGCAACAACAGCTCAGCCACCAAGTAGTAGACCATGCAAACTCACAGAGTTGGGCCTCCGTGTACTGAAGTGCACAGTGCGTAAAAACTGCCTATCCTCTGTTGTGTCATTACTACAGTTCCAAACTTCCTCTAGAAGCGACGTCAACACCTGAACTGTGCCAGAAATGGGCTCCCATGGCCAAGGAGCTACACGACTGGAGTGGCGTAAAGCACTCTGCCACTGGACTGTGGAGAAGTGGAAACATTCTCATTCGCCCCTGTGTACAAAGTGAGGACCATAAAGTCTTGGTTTGATGAGCTTGGTTTGGCGGAACTTTAGTGGCCTGAACAGAGCCTTGACCCCAACCCCACTGAACACCTTTGGGATGAATTGGAACACCAATATTGTATATATATATATATATATATATATATATATATATATATATATATATATATATATATATATATATATATATATATATATATCAATATATCATTTAACAACTTCTTGTCCCCAGAACATTTCAAATATTTAACAAAATATCTAAAAAAATACGTTTTGGTGTCTGGTTTGTGAATATATGTGTATGTTTGTGTGTAACTCACTCCTGCACAGCGCGTGCGATGGTCAGGGCAGTGGAGCCAGTCTCGTTCACACTGTCCAGTGTGACGTTGGGCAGGTCATCGTCCTCGCTGTCACTGAGTGATCGCCGTGGCGATGGTCTATCTGGAACCCGATGTGTGACTGAGGGAGAGCACAGAGAGGGTGGGGTTATTAAGACAGTACATAAATACACTAAGTAAATCACACAACATAGACACAGCAGACCAGCATGTGCTGCATCAATGTTTACCTATAAAACTTAAAAAAAAATAAAAAAACTCAATAAGCTAGTCTTGTAAACTGCATTAGCTAATCATTTTCTTAAAAAGCACATCCACATTTGAACTCGTCACCTCCATCTTTCTCAATGGACATAAATATATAAAATGATTCTATCAGAATCTGTTCTTAATTTACACTCTTAAAGGTTGATGAATTATGGGTCTAGAGAAATGCTTTAATTGTTATAGAACCCACATATTGTGGAGGTTCTTTAAACTTTAAAAAGGTTCTCACTCTGTATCTTTTTGCAGAAAGGTTCTTTAGGTTAGTAAAAGTGGATCTTCTATGGCATTGAAAAAAGTGATTCAAATGTACACAGATTTTCCAAATTAATATAAAATGTAATACATCAATGCAATTATTGCCAAAAGTATGTAAAATGAAAGACAAAGTTTAATAAGGCCGCAGGACGCCTACGTGAGCCTTTCTTGAAATAAACGTATGTAGACACACACACATTATCTAAGCCACTTATCCTCCTGGGGTCGCTGTGGGTGCTGGACACCCTGGACAGGTTGCCAGTCCATCACAGGGCAGACACACATTATAAAATTATTTCTAAAAGTTTATTCCAACAAGTAAATTAAAACGCACTGAGGTGAACTGACATCAAAATGAACAAAAACAGCCTAAGTGCTTTGCCATCTGAGACTTATTGGAATAAGCATTTGTGAATGTTTACATAGGTTTATGTCATTTACCATGAAGGGCTTATGAGCAGTCATGTAGCTTTACAGATGCTGCTTTTATTAAAGCGTTACCGTTGTGTTGATTGAAAAATTCCCCATTAACCACAAAAAGGATGTGATCAGTGCCAGGGACTTTGTCGGATGTTGGTGATTGCAGCTTTGTTGATTTTTCTTTAGTCCTCTCTGATAACTCTCTGTGACGCAGTGGATTAATGCTAAACTAAAGGCAACCTTGACTACTGTTCTGATAAGCCAGCATGATCAAAAGCACAGGATTTCCCCACAGAAAGAAAAGCACATAAATCACTCTGAAAAGGCTGAGAGAGGTCTGTGTGATGTTGAATGGATACAAGGTCTACGGTGTGTGTTTTTTTATGACTATAAGTGTGTGTCATGGCTTGTGTTACCCTGTTGTTCAACTGACCAACCTTGTTGCCATGGAAACCTCCCTAGACACAGCAGAGGGCACAGACCCTCCAGATAGGGGCTGGCTCAAAGTAAAAGTGTGCATGTAAGGCTAGCCTATTGTACAGATGTCATATATATAGAGCATTCTACCATATTCTACCTATATAAGTAACTGTAGTCTATATATACAAAATCATCATTTATAAGGTGAAGTTGAAAAATTTAGATTTATCACAAGTTTAATTTTTCACTAATTAAAAAATACTGTCACTACCGAAACGCAAAGAGTTTAGCACATTGGCAGAGCCTCATTTTAGCCACACTCCTGCATTTTAGGGCAGGAAGTCCTTTCAAACCTCTTTTCGAATGAAACTCCTCATATACAGCATATATAAAAGTCAGAGATCACCATTCACTTATTTAATATTCAGTCAAAACAGCCATTAAGTATAAGTTATTAATTTTTCATGAGACCAAACAAGACCTAGCAGACCACCAAAAATGTCACCTTTAGATAAACAGCTAATCAAGCTTTCATCTTTGAGACATACTGACAGAAGAGACAAAAAAAAAAGAAAATTTACAAATCAATCAAAGAAGCTGTTGCTTACTCAAAACAATGGACTGACCACCCCAGAGTCCAGATCTCAACATCACTGAATGAGTTTGGGATGGTTTGGATTGTAAGAACCAGAAAATGCAACCAGCTTCTAAGACTGAACAAACATTGTCAATTTTATTAGCTCCACTTACCATATAGATACAATTTTCCTACTCTAGCGTGCCAACTAACTCTGGTAATTAACTGAATCAGGTTGAATCAGGTGTGCTTGAGCAGGAAGATCGCCTAACTGTGCAGGAATCCAGCCTTCCATATCAGCTCTAGTCCTTCAGCAGTGGTCTACGGATGCTGCCCACAGGACACTATTGACTGGTGGGCTATTCTCAGTCCAGCAGTGACACTAAGGTGTTTAAACACTCCAGCAGCACTGCTGTGTCTGATCCACTCATAGCAGCACAACACACACTAACACAACACCATGTCAGTGTCACTGGAGTGCTGAGAATGATGCACCACCCCAATAATACCTGCTCTGTGGTGGTCCTGTGGGGGTCCTGACCACTGAAGAAAAAGGGTAAAAGGGGGCTAACAAAGTATTTAGATAAATAGATAGACTACAGTCTGTAATTGTACCACACTTGGTACTACAAAGTGCACCTATATGGTAAGTATAGCTAATAAAATGGACAAAGAGTGTAGATACAAGAAGGTGTGTATGTATGTTTATATATATATATATATATATATATACACTGTATCTCTTTATATATAACGTGAAATCTGAATGAATTTCAGAGAGTCTGGTTCTCTCCTCCCCTTCTCAAGAGAATGAGGGATGAGGGAAGAGAGAAAAGGGAAAAGCCTTCACTGCCACAGAGCCCATTAAGAACAGCGCTTGTGCCCAGAGGCACACAGGCTTTCCTGGGCAGCTGAGTGTGATTGTGTGTGTGTGTGTGTGTGTGTGTGTGTGCGTGTGTGTGTGTGTGTGTATGTGTGTGTGTATATGCGCATATGTGTGCATGTGTTGAGGGGCTATTAGTCTCCTCAGCTACACTCTTAAAGAAAAGTGCCTTGAAAGCAAACACAATCCAACATCAAAACACCACAAGAAATCTATTTTTGAGGGGGGAAAATCTGATGTTTGAAGGCACCTTTTTCTGATAATTATGGCGAGCCAGCACTGAGGAGAGCACAACATGCAGATGCTGCTGTTGGCTGAATAGTCAGCAATACATAAACATCTTGATTTTTTTGACCTCACAAAAACAGTGGGACTCATTCACCAATAACCTCCTAGATTTTTTCTTAAATTTGTTCTTGAGAAAGGTCCTAAGAAAAAGTCTATGTCAGGTTCATGACGTGTTCTTAATCCGCAGAATTATTCACACCTTTGTGTGCTTGAGGGTGTGCAGATTATGTTCTTACCTAAGAACAAATCCCAAATAAGAAAACATTGGCGAATGTCAGAATCTTTGTGAAAACTGTGTTTGTGGGTTTTTGAGAAGAAATTTCTTCATAAGATTGGTTGGTGTATGAGGCCCAATGAACTGAAAATGTTTTTTTTTAGAAATATACTAATAAAAAAAAATCTACTTTTTGAAAGTTATGTTTTAAAACAATGCTTTACATACTACACGAAGTAGTAGTATCAGGTAGTGCTATCATCAACCAATTTTACATGATTTGGGCCCTTTAATTTTATATAAAAAAAAAAACTCTTTTGTAGTTTTCCAGTCACATTTCTATAGCAGCTGTGCTTTACCCATAAATTTCAGGTGGCCTGATTTAAATGGGGACAGTTTTTGTCAGAGCACCTACTTCCTGTGTGGATAAAGGCTGCTGCCTGCTGGACTGAATAAAGAGTGTGAAGCACAATGGGCTTCCAGTCATCAGAATGCGTCTGTTCAACATGCTGTTGGGTTCTGGGTTCTGTCACTGACCCTGCAGGACTCAGAGAGGCTTTTATAGATGGGAAACGAGAGAGAGAGAGAGAGAGAGAGAGAGAGAGAGAGAGAGAGAGAGAGAGAGAGAGAGAAAGAGAAAGAGAGAGAGGGGGAGACAGAGAAAGGGGTGAAAAGGGGACAAATGTTAAAGACAGTGCCAGAGTAGGAGAGGTATAGATGTTCAGGAAGGGGAACTGTTGGGAAACTGTAAACAGTACAGAGAACCATCATTTATTCTGCCACAATGTCTAATAAAAGCATTTTATTCTCTCTCAACTCAGCACAACTCAATTTAATCTTAACTCAACACAACTCAACTCAGTCTAAAGAAGCTGGGCTCTAAATCTCTGAGGATATGATTGAATTAAATTATGACTCCTCAGGAAACAATTCAGTTTGTAGGTATCTGCCAACCAAAGGAGCGTTTGTCTTTCCCTTTCACTGTTTTTAAGGAGAAACAATTCAGAGATGTCCATTTAAACACAAACGACCCATATTCACACATTTTTCCTCCTAATTATAACATTTGTGTAGATTTATGTACCGGAACACAGTCATAATGTTCTTTTATGTAATAACTTTCCAACCTAATTTTATCCCTTAGAAATAAACAGGTAGGTTACTGTTAAAGACTGATATATGTAAATGACCCCTTTGTTTCTGATTGGCTGGCCTGTGCTGTGCTTCATTCAAAAAACAGTCTGGGCTGAAATGTGTGGAAAGTTCACCCTGAATCATTAGGAAAGATATACTTCAGCCGCTCTTATCAGATCTGAATCTGAATCCTTAGGAAGGTTCCAATAATACATTTGCTTTCTGACAGTCAGGAACAGTGAAAGGTTCAATCGTTTTCCACCACAACATGAATAGACAGCTAAAACTGCTGCAGGCTGAATAGTTGGCTTTATGTAATTGTGCTCATGGCTGTGGCATCGCATTCATAGAGAATTGCAAATAGACTGATTCTGATTGTTCCAGAAGAGAAACATTCATGAATGAACATTAAGTTGGATCCCAGGAGGTTGATAAGGTGTTGCTAGGCCATTGCTATGGCATCCCAGGTGGTTTCTAAGGTGTTTCTAGGCCTTTGCTATGGTATCCCAGGATGTTGCTAAGATACTACTAAGCTGTTGCTATGGTATTTCAGCTAGTTGTCAAGGTGTTGCTAAGCCATTGCTATGGCATCATAGGTGATTACTAGTGTTTGTACTTGATTGTACTGCAAATAGACTGATTTCCTATATAGAAAAATACATGGCTATGTATTTTTTTATATGTGATATACATTTCAGATTCACATTGTTTCACTCCCAAATATACTAGAAAAAATATTTGTACTGTATATACGGACTGTCTTGTCTGGTGAGTGAATAGTATGTTTTAAAACTTAACATGATGACCAAGGGAATGGTTTTCCATGGCTTCTTCAATAAAGCATTTCCTATATGGAAGTAAATATGTGTACTTGCTTGTATTAAAAATATAGGTACAATATATGTAATGTTTTAAACTATATTGGCTAAATACACTTAACAGTGCCATTTTAAATATTTATATACATGTCAATACATGTACATATACAGTCATATGCAGAAGTTTGGGCAATGATTTGAGTCAAATGATTTGTTGATTTTATGAGTGATTTTCTAAGTTAACAGATCCTCTACAGAAGACTTCTGAATATTTTTTGAAGCATAATTACTGTTTATTTACATGAGGAAAAATTAAACAAAATTGAATGTGAAAAACTTTTGGCACATTTTAAACTTTGTTTAATTATTTTTTTCAATATATTGTATTAAAATAATAAATAATAAATAGTAAATAGAAATTGTGCACTAAAGTTAGCAGAAAACACCACAATTAAATTTGTTGCCTGTACAGGTTGCATTAATTTATTTTCAGTTTGAAAATTAAGAAAACATGTCATGACTTGACGCATGTTTTGAGAAATAAATGGAAATATATTTGCTTTACATATAGATTGTCTTGCTTGTAACTGACAGTAAAGGAGAATGCACATCTCTCTCTCTCTTTCTCTCTCTCTCACTCACCTTTTCCATGTATCCTGCTCTCCTCCAGCATGGGCATCATCAGACCTCCAGGGCCCAGTGATCCCACTCCAGGATATACCAGCGGGACAGGCTGTACCACCACGGGCACCCTGCGGGGGTGGACGTGAATAGGGCTGGGGCAGTGGGGCAGGGGCTGCTGGGGCAGGGGCAGGAAGGGCTGCCCCCTCAAGGCCACAGAGGGTGGAGACGACACCCTGGATGGAGACAGCTTCAGCCGCGGGACGGGGGTTATAACGGAGGGAGGCGAGGAGGATGGCAGAGAGGATGATGATGACAATGAAGAAGGAGACTTGGTGGATGAAAGTGGAGGGGAGCGTGGGCAGAAACGTATTGATGATGATGATGATGATGAAGGTGATGAGGATAGTGATGATGATGATGAAGGTGATGAGCGAGATCTGTTGGTGGAAAGGTCTACAGGCTCTGTCTGTGTCTGGAAGAGGTCAGAGGGGAAGCATCTGTCAGGTGAATGAGTCCGGAACCTTCTGTCCATCACCAGCACGCCCATGTCTGGATAAGCTCTTATCTCTGGAGACTGTTGATACAAGATAATAGAGACATCATTTCTGTCTGTCTTTTAAACCGTTAAACTTCCCTTCACTCTCAGAAGCATTTCTTACATGTTCAACACTATTCGAGCTGCATTACTTTTAGCCAAGGTTCTATAATGTAATTTGTGTGCGATTTGACTGGTTTATTCTTATGAGATAAATTGTCTGTGTATTTTTGCCACGCCGTTGCTATGGTATCCCAGGGGGTTGCTAAGGTGTTGCTATGCTGTTGCCATGGTCTGCCAGCTGGTTGCTGAGGTATTGCTAGGCTGTTGCTATGGTACCCCAGCTGGTTGCTAAGGTGTTGCAAAACCATCACTATGGCATTTCAGCTGGTTACTGGTGTTACTAGGGATTTGCTATATTATCACAGGTACTTGCAAAGATTTTACAAGGCCATTGCTATTATATTCCAGGTGGCTGCTAAGGTGTTACAAGGCCATTGCTATGGTCTCCCAGGTGGTTGCTAAGGTATTGCTAGGCCATTGCTATAGTCTCCCAGATGGCTTCTAAGGTGTCACTAGGCCATTGCTCTGGTGTCCCAGGTTGTTGCTGAGGTGTTGCCTGGCCATTGCAATGGTTTCCCAGGTGGTTGTTAATGTGTTACTAGGCCATTGCTATGGTATCCTAGATGGTTGCTATGGTGTTGTCTGGCCACTGCTATGGTAAATGCTTGAATGTTCATGCAGACTGTAACATAGTTAAAAGAATTATTTTTTATTTATCTATTTTTCACAACTGGTTGTCATTCAAAACATCAACCGAACATCACATTACTGCAGTTACACACACATTAATTCCAGTTGTTAATAATACAAAGATGGCAGTACCCAAATATATATTAATTATAACATTATAGGATGAACCAGTCAACCAAAACACAAAACAACTAAACATTTGAAATACATTTGGGGTAAGAAAAACTTGTTAAAGAAACAACAGCTAAAACAAAACTCCAGTAAAATGAACTATGGATGAGTTAGTAAATACAAATAAGCAAAACTCATTTGTTTTTGTTCTTTACAGTGCACTGATTGAATCAACATAACTCACATGTTCATGTCAGAATTACACAACAGGCACGGTACTCGCCCTGTCTTAAATCAAGTTTGTCTGAAGTGTAGACTGCTATATATAGCAACAAAGGGAAGAGCCAACAGTTTGAAATTTTCAGCTGGGAGTTAGATGTCTTTGTCCATCAATCACTATATTTTGTGACATTAGCAGTTTGCTATTTGCAATATGCAGCTGAGGATTTTAGAATGGTGTATCGGTAACTGGGCATGTTGGATTAATAGCTAACTTTTGCTTCCTAATGTTTAACTGCTAAACTAGAAATGCCTCAACAACTTAAGATATCATGTGGTAATTTTTCATTTCCATTATTCTCGACATTATTAATTCCACATTCTAGACTGAAACTGAAACCGAAACTCAGGACACACTTAGCTGCAAACTGAAAATGAAAACCAAAAGAAAAGATTCTTTGATATTTGCAGTTTTAATTATACTTTTGAACTAAAGTAATAATGTTGAAGATGTGTTTAAAGACAACTGTCACCATGTTGGGAAAGAGAACTGATAGAACGAGGGGACTAATTTAATTTTAAACAACTTGCTAAACAATATTAAATATTAAAACTTATTTAAATTTATACATACATACATACATCATCTAAACCACTTATCCTTCTGGGTCGCGGTGTTATTTAAATTTATTTAAATTATAAAAATGTAAAAATAAAAATACTTCTTGGTTTCCAAAAGGCATCTATAGCAGAATTCCAGGGCTGCTATGCTGTTGCAATGGAAACCTCTTTTTTTTTTAAATGTTGAACATGTGAATGAAGCTTTGGAACTCCTGTCTAAGTTTCTCCAGCAGGTGAACTACTAGCATGATTGCCTTACTGTTCATCACTTTGAGAAGAAACAGCCTTAAACCTCATCTAATGAATAGATGTCTGTAACAACTTTTAAAGCCAGAGATAAAAAGTTTATTCCCAAAGGATATTGAGTTACTCATTATTTATGTGATTTCCATCAAAGAATTTAATTAAATCAGTTATTGCTGAAGAGGACTGCGTTTGAATTTCACTGTGAATCAGCTGCTGCTCCAGCTGTTTGAACATGTCTGTGCTGACTAGTGCAGGAGAGTGAAACAGCTTTATTGAATCACTATTTCCCATTTTCATTATCATTCAGATTATTTGTCACTTAACTGTAGACCTATTTAATCATTTGCTTTTTTCAGCCAAAAGTTTCGGCCTTTTTTTCCCCTTTGGCCACTTTTTGGCTAGAAATTTTCAGCGGCCAAATTTTGGTGCATCCCTAGGGCAAAACATTAATGTCCAATGTGAGATGCTGTTACGTAACATAAATCTTGGTTTTAGTTAGTAAAGTACATTTGGGGGCAGTCCGATCCCCTGTGCCAACAGTACGTGCTCAAGTGCCCTTGAGCAAGGCACCTAACCCCCAACTGCTCCCCGGGCGCCGTGGATAGGGCTGCCCACCGCTCAGGGCAAGTGTGCTCACTAGTGTGTATGTGGTGTTTCACTGCATGTATGCGTCAAATGCAGAGCTGAAATTTCCCTGTTGTGGGACTAATAAGGGTCACTTAATCTAATCTTAATAGTATATAGTGAAAGAATACCTAAATTGAGACACAGACCCAATGACAATAACAACACGGCACACAAGAGTGTGTGTTAGCAGTTCTGTTATTCTATTGGAGTTAGGTCAATCAGAACAGGACTGCTATTCCTAAGGAAGCTCCAGGTTTAGCCAATTCCAGAAGGTAATCCACTCCAGAATTATTACTGTAGGTCTGTTATTGTGGAAAAAAAATATAAGTCTAATATAAGAAAAACCACGTCTAATCACTTAAATGACATTTTCCGAAAGCAAAACTAATCCAGCTAGAATATGGCTTTACTTTTGTAGTAGGTAATGAATAATTCATACAGGATAAGAAGCCATAAGATTAACAACCGAATAACAGGCCTAATAAGAGGGACAGAACATATGCAACCCTGAAAATCACACATCTATACACAGACAAAAAACTATACATGTTTCTTGTGACCCTCTCTGTCACATTATCTGAGGCTACATCTGCCCTAATTTTCCGCTGTGTTTACTGCGGTTGGTCGGCTTGGAGGCCACTCAGCTGAAATGGAACTTGTTTTGAAACTTCATTTCTCTCTCTCTCCCTCTCTCTCTCCTTCTCTGCCAGAGCCCCCTGTCCAGCTCTTGCCCCTGAAAGGGGGGCTCCTGCTTATTACAGCTAATTTTCCGAATCCTAGTAGCTTCTGGTCAAGACAGTTTTAATGGGGGACCAAAAGTTTCCAAGAAGAAGAAGAAGAAGAAGAAGAAGAAGAAGAAAAAGGGCTTTGGCACAAACAGAGTGCGCTCTGCTTTATGACGCACTTCAAAACTGCCCACGCACGTCCTGCGCTCACGCCGCTCACACACACAACAGTCAATATGAAAGACAAAGACAACAAGGAAGGATAAGCACACTGGCCTAATTCTGCAGTGCACTCTGTAACATATAAAATTAAAAACAACACAAAAAATCAAGCAAAAAATAAAATAAAACTAAGAAAAATAAAATAGTAATAAAAAAATAAAATAAAATAAAATAAAATAAAGGAATACAAATGAGCTTTAAAAATCCTAAAATAGAAAAATAAAAAAAATATTAAAATGAAGACAAAATTATACAAAAAAGAAATAAACACACATGAAAAAGTAAATGTAATAAATAAAATAAAATAAAAATATAAAAAAACTATGTTAAAAATAAAATAAATAAATGCAATAAAATGAAATAAACAACAACTACAATAAATAAAAATAAAAGCATAAAACTGAAATAGAAATGAAATAATGGAAAAAATGAAAAACACATTGATAAACTAAATAACATGAATGAATTGGACAAAAGTTTGTTTAGCTTTGCATAATCTACGAATTTAAGCTGAGCTCTAGTTCAGTCATGCTTTAGCTTTTGCTGCTGCTGCTGCTGCTGCTTACCCGTCTCTGTGCCTGCAGGGGCTCCGTTTTGACTCGCAGGACAGGCATCCCGTCCAGCATCAGCATCCTGCTCTGGGGACACACAGGGCGACAGAACAGGCACATTAGCCTTCCTCATACTGAAATACATGATACACTATATTTACTTGATTCTAGGTTCATCATTTCCACACAAATAAAAAATATCACATCCTCACAGTTATTACCACAAGCAAGGAAACTGACTGACAAAACTGTGTTCATGTGGAAATAATGTAAACATTTGAATCAAATCAATTCAGGGCTTTACTTTCTTGACTGTAAATAATAAAGGAATAAAAAATGTAAAGGAATGCATGAATCAATGCTAGACAGAGAGGTAGAGAGTGATGCGTTAAAATGCGTTAGTCTAACAGTTTGTGACAGGTTGGACCCACCAGGGTGGATAAAGTGTAATGAACCGCTGTAATTGTACTACGAGTCCTTTTTACAGTCATATGGCATATAAAAGCAGCACAGATGCAGTGCCTAAGTGAAGTGTTGAGCTATTTAAGAGCTCCACGCGCCCCCCCACCACCAGCACGCTGCCCCACCCCCACACACCCCCACACCTCATCATGAATAAATTCATCCAGTGGGCAGCTGGCTGAACATGTGTAGATACTGACAGGCAACACGTGAAATTTTTATGCTTCATGTGATGGATTGTGCATATGAATGTAGTTGTCAGTGTCTTGCACTAGTCTTGTGTGTTTTAAGCTGATTTTAGAATAATAATGAGTGTCAGTAAAGTGCACATGACTATGTTAAGTGCTTTGTTTTACTTGTTTTTACAGCCACATGTTCGATTTTTTAACCAAGAGAGCTATTACATATAAATATTTACATTTATATAATACATATGGGATGTGTCACTATTACTTACTATGTATATGTATATGCAAAAGTTTGAACATCCAGTCAAATTACATATTTTGTTGATGTGAAGTGAAAATAAGTTAAATTATTATTACATTACATTTCATAAGTTCTATAGGGAACAAACGTAAACATGAGATTTTTCTGCAAATTTTCACACAATGTTCAAAACCACAAACAGAACTTGAGACAAATTTCAAGAGTTAAAAAGCTATTTAATTCATTTGCTCAAGAAAACACTTTTATTATAATAAATACATTATTAACTGCAGCATTAATAGTTTGATCACTCAGTTTTTCATTGACTTCATTGGCCAGGTATGTGGGCAGTGAATTTGAGCAAATCTATAGGATGGCTGGAACCAAACCTTTTGCTATAATTATGTTTATTTGCATTTATTTTAATTCTAATAAGGCAATTTTATGAACACAAAACATGACTGTCAGGACAAAAAATTGTCTACAGTTTCCTTAAGAGCCTAAGATTTTTTTCACAGTACTGCGACACATACATAATACACACAGGCCATGCTATTGTTGCATATGGGTACCTACAGTTGTATGAAAAACTTGAACACTCCTGGTGAAATTACACGTTTTGTTGATTTTGTAAGTAACACATTTGGGAATTTAAATTTAACAAACTTAAATGCGGTTTTATTCAGTGTAATTTCTGAGTTTAACATACTGGAAAGAAATAAAGCATAAAATATAAATAAATTACAGTGTGTCATAACTTTTGCACAGACCACATTTTGTTTTAATTTTTGTCCAATGTCAAATTCAGCAAATGCACAGTAATTGTACATTAAACCCACACAGACTGTAGAAGATGAGTTCACTTGTTAACTTATTTTCACTTAGAAAATCCACAACACACATCAATTTAACCAGGAGTGCCCAGACTTTACGTATATAAAGTCTATAAGAACTGTGCATACGCAAAAAACATAAGAGATAACCATGAATAAAAAAACAAATACACCTATGTGTATGTGTCTGGACAAGACTTGACTCATAAACCACCAAAAATTCCATCACAGTCACTAAAGCATTGACCAACACTGTAATTCTAACAGACATGGTAACAGACATGCTGTACCATTCAACTACTGCAAGCCTCCTTGTTGGCAAGGAGTGGATACTAGTCCAGGAAATCATAATGCAATCATGACACATACCTAACCTTATCAGTGTATGCATTACACAACTTGAATTTACTGGCAAAGCAATGGCCTTTGTGCAATGGATCAGCATATCACTCCCCAGCCATCATTGCCATGCTATGGATGTAAGGAAAAAAAACGTGCAGAGGCAACAGTATTATACCGCCTCCTCTTACAAAAAAATGTTGCATGGTTTTGCACTACAGTGAACACGTCTCAGGCTGGAGGGGTTCAGCAGGCCAGCGGTGCTTTCATAGCTCAGCATGTACAGTAGCGTGTTGATAAATGGAGCTGGTCGATTGCGTGTGGAAATCACCTCGATTCTCAGTGGCAGCCGCTGATTCAGGAGAGACACAAAACAGAAACATGCTGACTGCTCCGGCCTCCGCTGACCTGCTTTCCGAACCAGTATTTCTCTGCGTATGTGTGTGAGCAGTAAAACAGACAGGATGTCAGAGGAAATGGGTGGGGTCCAGAATGGCTGCACACCAATTACAAGTCCACAACCCAGGCTCCTGAAAGTGTCCCAGAACACCTAAACCTGCATTAACCTCCTAAACTGCAGGCTTATTATTCCACAGCCGCCTGGACGACCCACACTTTTCAAAAGTATTGAGGCGAGACTTGAGGCTGACTTTATTCCAAAAAAAAAAATATCTCCACCCTCTATAAGCTCATAGACCATTAACAGACACTCAAGTTCAGTGGCAGAGCCAGTTAAAACCTTCGCTTCAGCTGTTGGAGGGAGAAGGGACCTTTATTATATATTAAGAAAGAACAAATATCGAAATATCTAATTCTAATTTATGGTCACTGTGTCACTATATATGGTCACTATGTGAAATATACTATTTAAATATACCATTGTTGAAGCATGCAGACTCAAGCAAGCCAATATGTCTCCACACACACACACACACACACACACACAAAATAACAACTTAATAACAAACTATAGGGCATTTTTCTGCACATTTTAGTGCACATTTTCTACTTTCATGCTGAGACTCACTTTCAGTTTTTCAAAGAAATCTGCAGGGATATTTTTCACACACAAGTCTTAGAAGTTGGTTGCATTTTCTGCTTCTCATAACGCAACCCAAATTACAAATTTAGGTTTAGCAGTCCATAAAACCTTTCTCTGCATCATAGATGTCCAAACAGGGTTATAGAGCAAACATTCTACTTTTTTTGTCTGTTTTATTTTCTCAGTAAAAGCTTCTTGTCAGCTACACATCCTTTCAGACTCATAGTCTTGAGTTGTCTTATCACAGTGGAAGGATGGAGAGAAACTACTGTGGAGTTTTCAGATCTGAAGTAAGAGTGGAGCCTAATTTTCTCCTCTCTCACAGATGAAAGCTCTGTTAAGCACTGTTTATCTGACGGTGGCGGTCCATCAGGTCTTGCACGATTGTCAGGAGTCTCATTTTCATTATTTTTTTAATACATTTTTGAACATCAGTTTTGGAAACTCCTGTTTTTTTCCTTGTCATTTGACTTTCCCCTTCCTTGTGCAAGTGGACTTTTGCACAGTATTGTATATGAAAAGGATTTGCAGGTGTAGTGTCACCTCTGTATTACGTAGTTATTAATATTAAGACTTATTCATTAACTACTTTACATTATATGGTATCTAAATGGAAGAAGAGTGGATCCTTACTATTTAAGAAGTTAACACAATGATTCTGTAAACACTATACTTCCTGATACATCCTATATTTGCCAGAAGAATCCTTTTTAATGCAGCTTACTGACTAACCGTCAACATCTTACATCATAGTGGACAAGAGCGAGAGCCATATGTTAGACAGCTGTGTCCCTGTAACACCTCATACAACCTCTATGAGGCTTGAACATACCCCAGAACATCAATAAATCACTACACTAGAGGTTTATTGCCACATACAGACACTGCAAAAGGTTCATAACCTGAGTTCTCAGCAGCAGATGCTAACACTGAGACTGTAATGGTTGCTAATGACTGACTTGGTCTGCAGAAATGGGAAGTGAATGACTATCATTGGGATCAATGAAAGGTTGTGGTTGGAATCCGTACTTGAGTTGAATAGCCTCTGTGGGCAAGAGAGATTTTCTTTGGCACTTATTTTGGTGAGAGAGAAGTTTTGGTGATAGAAGAGCTGGCCAAGATCAACCTTATTCAGAATGAGGCATGATATGTCAGTGAGGAGAGTTCAAGGTAGATTCACTTCAGTCTACACTTAGTAGGAGATGAGTGGCTATTTCACAGAGCCAGACAAAAAACCAAGATGTGGCCAAGTGCATGTAAAGGAATACTTCTCCTGAATATGCTAATGTTGCTAATAATGAATAAAAGCAAGGTGCCAAACCAGTATTACATAAATGTGACTACAGATGAGCTAAGCAATTGTTAGCCATGACGTCATTTTTAGGAAAAGTACACCTTAAAGTACCTAAAGTAAGAGTGCTGAGCGAGGGTCAGCTCTGTTAGAACGGAATTCCATTGATTTCTCCAAAGTTCTGTGTTATCAAATTTATTTATATGAAGATATAAATGTGAAATAATGTGAAATGCACCATTCTTGAGAAATGCTTCATTCACAGCAGTGGTGATAGGAACCAGACGTCTGAAGTGTTTAACCCTTTTTTCACAGCAGCCATAAAATGCAAATTCCACCTGTTTTGGACATCTCTCGCTTGAACTGAGCAATATTTTTGTTCTTCAATATTGTTGATAGAATACATTTTAGTATGATTTACAGACATGGAAACTATTTTCATTTTCGTATATGAGCAAGCAAATCAACATTTGTAAAAATGTGTTTATTGTGTTTAAATACTATTTTTATTGTGGCAGTTGTACATGCTTTATTAATATCAAGAAAGCTGCAGTTGTACTGTCAGTTTTATCTCAGCCTGGCCATCTTTGTGGAGAGGTGTGAACTGTTTTCACACCAAGCGGTTCTAACCCCTTTCACACCTCATTGCTCGCTAGCAGCTCAACACAGAGTCACAGCGTTTCACACCCAG